TGGGGCGGGGGGGGGCGGTCATTGAGAATCATCCACGGTATCACTACCGATATGCATCGATAACTGCATTCAACATCCGGCATAGACAGGGACAGGGACACCTATGTCATGAGCAGAGCGCTAGTACACATAATGTAAACAGCCTGCGTAGGGTACTCAATGCCAGAGTCGTTTCGATCCGACTCGGAAGCATCTCCAGTGTCTTGTATCGGAAAAACTCAGAGATCTGTCAGGCATCCGACTACCAGTGCCAGTGTACACCATCATTCGTGCTCGCTCTCCGTGACATCTCCCCGCGCGCGTTCGTATCACCATGCCCGGACCTTATCTTTCACCCGAGCAACGAGCGCAAGGCCGGATCTGGGCCTACTTCATAGGGTGAACGTCGCAATCGAGAGCAGCATATCCTATCCATGCATCGAGGTCGAGTTCTTGCAGAGAAGGGAGGACGAGAGTCCGGAGAAGGCGGTCTATAAGGTATAAACCGACACCAACACCGACACCGACACCTGGAGCTGACGTAGAGCATGCATGTGGACCTTGTGGTTTTCAGGCGAGAGTGAGTCGTAGGCGTCACCTCCAGCAAAGCGCAATCTGCTGGACATTAGGTTAGGGCACCACGACAGGATGTCCAGACAATCATCTGCACGAGTGTTATCATCAAGCATGAGCTCCGTAAGCTTCTAGTATATCAAATATATAGGATACTGAAGGATCCCTCCAGAAGTGGCGATTTCGAAGCCTGGCGAGACAACTGACGTGACATGCGGGGGGATGGCGTGGCTACATCTTCCGCTAACTTGAGATCTTCAATTGAAAGGTGTAAACGGAAAATATGTATCTGCATGGCTCCTCTGAGAATACGAAGCTGTGAGATAGCGGCGAGTACTGGCCACTCGGCGCCCTCGGTGCGCCCGTCGTCCTAACCTTCAGCCGAAGCGGACCAGCCCCAAAATGCGCAAGCCACTCGTGAGCGAGCTTATGGCTAGAGGAGTGGACGTAGCCTCCTCGAGCAATGTGCAGGGTGAAGGACCTCCACAGTTGCTCGGTAGAGAGCGCAGTTTCCCTCCAGAAAAGACAGACCTGGAGGACTAGAGGAGCCTCGCGTGGATTTGGATAGATATAGAGTTGGTCGGGCATGCAAAGGATCAGGAATTTCGCGAGCACCTCAGAAGGCAGATTCCCCACAGGAGCTCGCAGGAAACCCACTGCTGTATGCATGCTGTGGTCTTCAAGCGCTAACTTGACCGACGGTATGCCAGACTGGAGAGCCGATTCCTAATGCTGCAGGCTGGTCATGCGTAGTGCCAGCTAAGCTTGTCAATTTCGATTAAAGAGGCGCCCAGTCTACCTCAGTGCGTCCTACAGGATATGTACTGGCCAGCTTGTCTGGTGCCAGTGGAGATATCCAACTGCGCAATGGGCAAGGGCGACGTAGCCAAACGTCTTCTGTATCCGCTGGGTTCAGGTTCAGAGCTAATACGGATGTCGCAGCATGGTACCGGGCTGTCCGGCGGTATACTGAGAGGAGATTCGAGAGATGGTGGTTGCAGTTAGGCTAAAACCGGCTCTTGTGTTTTTTTTCCCGCGTTATTCCACGTCGGATGGCGCTGGAATGGATCGGGACAAAGACACTTTCGTTGATAAGTTTCCAGCAAAGCTCACCGGAGAGGACTGGCTACGGTGCAGGCCTGATATTGTTTGGTCAGCTGAGTTCTATCCATCGCACTAAGGGGGCACATGTCTGCCCCTAGCCATGCTCGACTACACTGAAGCACATCTGAGAATGCAATTATTGGAAAGGGAAGGTACCAAACTATTCACTGTGCACTGACCCTACGAGTATCCGTTCCAGGTGTACCCACTAAGTACTCTAGTCAGGGAAACCTTCTCTTAGCCATCACGACAGCGGTCACCATTACGAGTGCCCGAGAACGGAGAGAAGGAAAGATGTGCGAGAGAACGTCAAAGATTCATTGGGCGACTCTTGTCGGTCCGCGTCACGTCACATCACATATCACGTGCGTGATCCAGACGCGTTGCGTTACGAGTTATTAGTATAGGTCGCGTTCCGCCGTCCGGTTTGTTCCAGTCTCTCGACTTCGGAACGCCTGAACCACAAAAAGCTATCATGACCACCGGGAACGAAAGCGAGCGTGCCTAGAAGCTGAACGGAGGTAGTGTTCATTGCTCCTTGACTTGGATGCGCTTGTACTTGCACGGTACTACTAGTAGTACTGTAAGAGAGTTCTCAAATCATGTCTACCTTCTCTAGGCTGAGAGACGGTCATAAGACAGCCTGAAGATTACGGATGCTATTCTATGTCCCCCATTCAAGTTCCCGAACCCACGCAGCTCCGACTCGGACGACGGAAGACGCAATGACTATTGCTCCCGGGCCGAAGGTGGTTCTCGAACAGATCTTCTATCCATGATCATGGAAGATTGAAGAAGCCTGCTGGGCAGTCCATGATGCATGACACACGATTCACAGAACTCTGTTTAGGACCTAGTATCTTACAGTTCATCAAGGTTTTCCTTTGCAAAGCTTAACCTAAGGTCTCTACGTAGGTATTTACACTGGCAGGCACCCTGTCAGCCCTCTGTGGATCTCATCAAGACCGAAATGAGGCCCCTCGGAATCGTCGGGGGCGCAGTATACCTGAGCACGACAGCCTTGAGCTACGCGAACTGCACCGCTGCTGTGGGGCTGATCATCAGGACCCCCCGTTTATTCACCAGCAAGTTGTCTCCCCGGTCGAAATGGTGGCAAGTTGCGCTGCTGCAAAGCTTCTCGCCACCTGCGAAGATTTAATACTGCTGGCTGTTCCTTCTTCGGCACGACGGGAATCATGCTTGACTTCGGCTCCTTGATCGAAGTCTTGACTGTTCTATTCGAACACAACGAGGACCGGCGCAGTGCCACGCCTTCATCAAAAATTGACACGGGGATATTAATGGTTCCTGTCTACTCACGTACCGAGACGCACTCTCTTCATGATGTTTTCACGCAACGTAGTTGAAGATTAGGTAACCTTCACTTCTCTAGGTTTGATGGCTTTCCCCCGTCATGTCCGAGGAGATAAGTCGAGAAAACGGGCGGGGAGGGGTGGTCGGAGAGTTCTAGGAGAAGCGCAGCATGATATAATCTTGTGATTGGCCCCGTAGCGCCTCACGATAAGACACTGCCTTGTTAATTGCCTACGAACTGCGAGTTCCCTCCCCTTCGCATCTGGATAGGCGTGCCGCAGTAAATCTGGAAAGGAAGATTCGTAGACCCACGAGCTTGGGTAGCGACGTCCATATTCCATGTGACTAACCCAGTGGTGTGAAGTGCTCAAAACACGGTAATCATCACTTACCTCGAGGGTGGCTCTGACAGATCCCTAAGAAATATGAGAATTCACAAACCAAGAGTGCAACTGGATCGGCCAGGCTTTAATACCAAAAGATAAGGATATGCGTTTATTAGAGTTTCCCTCGTTGGCAATCATACCTGGCTGGACCCTCCCGTCTGAACCTTGAAGGTCAGGTTACCACATCTTATCTTTGAGGATGCGACGAGGATCAGGAGTATGCCGATTCGTCATCGTGTGATGCGCACCGTAAGTTCAGCAGTCGTGCCGGGCTCGGGGCGCCGGGAGTTGTGGTCATCACGTTCATGCCAGAAGAACTGCTAGCAAATCAGTATCGAGTCAGATGCCGGTAAAAGATGTATGGCCACGCACATAGAAGCACTGGCTGAACGTCAACCCCGGAACTTCCGAGTCGATGACTGCGAATCCGTATAAGATGACCGAATCGTGATCCCAGACTTGACTGCCAGTGATTGATATGCCCAATCTGCTGGGCCCTGCGCACCGCCCTCCAATTAGGTGATAACCCCATCCCTCCCTAAGCCATCCATACCTGATATTGGCCTCATCAGTCTTCAACATATCTACCGTGTACAGGGGTAGAGGCTCACCGGGGAATTGAAGGATAAAATTCGACGCACGTTCAAACGGAGGTAATTGTACGCCCTACCACCGAGTAGCTTCCAGGCACGAAAATCTAGCAGGTGCTCGAGGTTCTCTTCGCGACAGCCTCAGCTTGTCTCCCTCAAATGCATCATTGGGTGGGCCATAACGCTGCCCTAACTCGTTCAGTGATAAAGCTGGATCAGAAAACAATCACGGCTTGAGAGGAGAAGTTCTCCAGCGGATCTCTCCACGGCCCACCTAGGATAACGAAATATACTAACTTAAGTCAGCGGTGTCGTTACATGGGGAAAGTGGAAGCACACAACATGCGCGGCCTGCAGGGTTGATGATCGAGACTTACAACAGGAAAAGAAGTCGCCCATGATAGCCCCAGGGAATCCATAAAATGGGCGATCCGCAGGCGACGCTGGAAAAACATCGCGACTAACATGGTTGAACTGTAGACATTGCTTGGACACATATAATCCTTGGGAATCCTTGCGATACGCAGAGACATCAACCCTGCCGACAGACTGGAGTATTTGGCAGCGGCTGGCCTCGTCTTAACAAAAATTGGGCCATGGGGAAAAGAACTGCCGAGAATTGGCGGTCCTAAGCCACAGGCAGGTCAGAGTGATGCTCGCGGCCAGAAGAGAGTGATGTTGCTTTCGTTGAGGTGGACAGGCTGAACAGGCGCAGGATTATAGACGGGATAGAGGGAACAGAGGCGAAATACTGTGGTATCAATATTCCAGCGCTTGCAGACGTATTGTCAATTTCAGCTGCCACCTTCGGGTTCGAGCCGGAGCGTCCAGCATTCATATCGGCACAGCGTCAGCATAATATTCTGAACCCGACAGAAACACGGACCACGGTATGATCAGAATGGGTAGCAGCGGAACCGGCGCAGTAGCCCACATTAGCGGCTCCTACAATGAAAAAAAAGATCACTAATCACATGGCCAGAAGGACCATTCCGATGGAACGACCTTTGTATTGTCGGCCGATGAAAATTCTCTTCGACAAATTCCGGGAGAGGTCAAGTAAGCTTAGGTTCGATACAACAAGATTCGCCATTTGCCGTCGGTCCAGGGAGCTCGCCGTAGCTCCAACAGCGGGTGGTGCCTTGGTGTAGACGAATGGTCCCCCGCGCTTGGTCCAGACTCCCGCAGTTGTATGGCGCGTTCCAGGGGCTGAGAAACCTGGCTCGTGTTGCTCGACGTGTCCAGCAATTTGGTGGAGGACAGTGGTATTGAGGGGCGAATCCTATCAAAAATCACAGGTCGAAGTGGCCACGGCAGCCAAGCAGAGAAATTCGCCAGAGACACAGACAACGGGCAGGTGGGATGTCGACCGAAGTGAGGACGATATTACAGCGGATATTGGCGAGACGATGGAGGCATGGGCGCCGAGGTCTCCGGATATCGGTGCCGGGGTGGACAAGTCCGGGTAAGGCATGGACAGATTTCTTCATTAGAGGCGCGCTACACGAAGATCATGATGCAGGTCAATGAAGTTGACTGCACGGGCATATCATCTGGATCCTGGAGAACGTTCACGCAACGACACTGGAGCGGCCATGCTTGATGGTCATCTTTGTTCATCGGTCCTAGAGATGAACAGAGAACCGGCGGCGGCGGCGAGGAGGGGCAATAAGCTCCAGATGTCGAAAGTTCCCATGAGATGACACTGAGAAGACGCACCTCTGGGGAGCGCACGTAACGGAGCATCAAAGCATACCAAACGCGGCTACAAGGTTTGGTGGTGCTCCCTGCGGCGACACGTGTGGAGTGATACGGTCTAACAGCACACGGCACCGAGGGTGTCAGTAGTATAGTGGATAACAGATACACATGTGATGCCTCCACACACACTTGCCACAAGGGAGGTTTAGTAGACCCGGTCGGCCTGGCCGCTAGGCCGGAACCCGGGCGATAGACACTACATGATTCAGCAATGTTTCGGCGTATGGGGCATGCTCCGGGGATCACGAACAATAGGCCCCACGCACGAAGCTTGTGGCCTGGGGGAAATGAATGCCGCCCCATCGAATTTCAGCGGCGCAGCCGGGAATGTGAAACATGGAAGCGAGGAAGTCGAGGCGCACGCTATCGAGTAAAATTCGCAACTCGAGGTCGTCGGCAGTCACTGCTACCTCCGGTGCATGGGCCCTCCTAGCAACCTCGCCTCCTCGGCACGACGCTCGACGACGAGACAATTTCAAAGAAATAAGCATCGAAGGACAAATGAGGAGGGCTGCTCGGCCATGTTGCTTACGTTTGCACCTCTGGGTCTTCGGAGTGAATGGTGGGCTGTCAATGCTGAGCTCGATCTGATTCTGCCCAACACGAAGTTGGGGAGGGATCTGTTGCGGCTTATCTGATAAGTCCTAGATGAATGGTCGTCAATTTGACACCTTACAATCGATGGCTGGCTCGGATGAGCGCTGCGAATTATGGTGCTATCCCGGACTTTTTGATATAATTGGCCATAGCCGTGTCATAAACTTGCTCTCGGTTTAAAGGTGATATTCCATGTGAGGGACGTCCCTCCAGTGATCTCGTAGAGCCATTTTATCCACTAGCAGACGCTCAGACTGCGCACTAGAAAAATCAGAAATAAAAGGATATCTGTTGCGACGACGACTTACTGACGCACGTGCGGTAGTACGCCGCACCTCTTCAATTCCCTTCCCAAGCTACGCAAGATGATACGCGTTATTTGTCAATAAACTTTTCCATACGACCAAAGTAAACGTTCAGGAAGACTTTGTTCCCCACCAATTAATGCTCGATCCGCCTACCTCATTACAGCGCCACCCTCCTCACCTCAGAAACGACTGGTCAGGGCTGTCACGCCGACCCCCGAGCCTCCGAAGCCCCGCCTTCGCTGTCGTTGTGAAGCCGGACGCGTTCCTGACTCCCGTCGGCGATGTCGTACAGCAACCATCCGTGACAGGCGCAACTGCTGTCAATTCCGATGAGATCCGCCGTAACGGCGCGACGATGCCACAAATCTCAGTAAACACGGGAAAGAAAAAAGCTAGGCGCCCTGACCTGGATCGTACATGTAGGGGGCCAATGGGGATGCGTGGGAGCGTAGAGGACGATTCAGAACCTCCCGGGATTTCCCGTGATGCTTCTCTGATGTCTTTTACTTCCGCGTATGCGCTCCGAACGCGTCTACTTTGAACTGTGTTAAGCAACTACGCGGATACGAAGCGACGAGACTGGCGCGCCAGTCACGCCACAGCGGTGGTCAACCGAAGTCCTGGCCTCGGATCGTGCGAAATCAATCTGTCACTCCCAGTAGCAGGGCTTTTCTCTCCCGACGACACCGACAGCTCTCAGCCACATGCGCTTCTGACTTCTGATCTCTCGCGGGCGCCAATGTTGAATATTGAATCCCTGCGATGGATGAATTGCTCGGGATCTCGTGCTGATAGCGCGGCCTGAGTGCCGATCGTGGTTCGCTAGGCCTCGTGACTACTGAACTGGCTGTGTGTCCGTCTCGGAGCGATGGCTTCCACTTGTGCTCCCTCCAGATGGACTGCCGGCGGTCCTGAATCCATCTGCCCCCTATGCCAATCCTAGGCTTTTCCGAGCTCATCCTAGTCCTCGTCACGCCTAGTCCACTGGTCAGCCCCCGGTGACCCGGCTACTTATCTTCCAGCTATCAGATAACATCCAAAACACCCTCCGTATACGTCATGCGCATCCAAACAATGAAACCGGACCCTCCTCCGGCCGGCGAGTGCACAACACTGGCAGACGATCACCCACCCCGACATCACCGAGCGCGATGATGCGATTCTGCTAGTGTCACGTTCTGTCAGCGCATCCACTGCGACTTCGATGTATAGGCCATCTTCCTCGGGATGCCTGGGGCCAGCTGCATGGAGCCAAGGGGTGCCACAACGGTGATTCTGCGCGTCGGAACTCTACGTAGCGTGTCCGCGGCCTGCAAGCTTCGACTCTGGGCGCGGGTCATCAATTTACTGCTTACTCGGGGGAGACACGGCCTGCGACGCGTACCTCCGCACTCCATACTCTAGTGCATACCGGCTTCATCTCCCTCCACGAGGGCCTGTGATCCGTCTGCAACGCGGCTTTACGTCGACGCCATGGGGCGAGCGCAACCCTTCCCCGAGGCCATCCCTCCAGCTATGTCATGCTGCGAGTCGGGGGAAGCAGGAGATCCCCTGGCCCCAGTCCGACGCGGCGCCTCGAGAACGCCATGGGCCAGTAAGTACACATTCCATCCCCCGCCTTCGCCTTCGCCTTCGCGCGTAGTCTCGCAAGATCCGGCTGGCGAATCTCGCAGCAGGGCCGTCCCTCACGCGCGCAGCCTGCGCTTCGTGGCCCCCCGCCAATCAGTTTCGCGGCGCCGGGATCTGTGGCTGGATCTGCGCCGGCGAATGCGAGCGCGTAATACTATTACTAACATGCAGCATCCCCCTGCCTGGTCCGGCGAGCCGTGCCCCCTGTCTAGACGTCCCTCGCCCGGTCGGTGTCAGGTAAGCTATGTACGAGCCCAGTCGGCGTCGGAGCCCGGGAGGCTAGCTAGCACTAGCCGGAGAAGCGCGAGCCGACGTTGGCAGCCTCGGACAGAACGTTCGCGTGGCATGCATCCAGCGGACGGGCGCCGACGCCACCCGCCGCGACCCCCGACGATCGTCTCTCGCACAACGGGTCCCAGCGGCATTGTGCCCGCGCGAAGGGGGTGCAGTGCGGAAATCAGAGGATAAGGTTACGTTGGCTGTCGGGTGTGCTAATGGCCTGGTGCTGGTGAGACTCTAATTAAGCTCGCGTGCGTACTAGCCAGCCCCCTAGCTCGCGCCGGTGTTCAAACGTCGAGATGAACCGGACGCTAAGTAGGTTAGTTCCGGCGAGTTGAACGCAATGGACCGGGTGCATTGGCTCGGGGTAAGGGCGCTGAGCTTAATTGTTGACAGCGTGCCCCGCGGAGGACCGCGCTCATGCTCGGGCGGTGAGAGCTCGTGGGTAAGAGAGCGTTCGATAGAAGCTTCGCGTGGACGTGGAGGTTGAGATACGTTACGCGGAGGGCTTGATACGTAGGCAAGGAGAGATAACAGTGTTTTGTCGGGGAGGGACACTGGACGCGCCAGCATTCGTTGATGCAGACGCTTGTTCCTGCCGGCGGTAGGGAGAGCATCGCAAATTTGCGAATACCAGCCCATCAAACGCGTGGGAGGCCATTTCCATATCACGGACGCTCGGGCGATGCCATTGGTCGGCTTCGGTGTCAAACGCCAGGACGCATTCATTCGGACGGAAGTAGATGGGCGTTCTCGATCGGATCCGCGCCCAGTACGTTTCATATTTGCGGCGAAAGGTGGACTACTGACCTGTTGACCCAGATCCCTGCGCTTGTTCTCCTGAGGCTGGCGCGCGTGATTGGCCGACGCGTCTGATCCGCGGACGTCCGGGGGATTCGCAGCGCGCGCTGCAATGAGCTAAGGGCAGGCCCCGGCGGCGCCCTGCGAGTGTATTCATGTTGCCATTATCCAAGCCAGACGACCGCATCGCATCGAAGGCTGGCGCAGAACAAGTCACGCAGACAGGCAGACCCTCGCGCACGAGTGACTAGTGACTAATGGCCCTGCTCCGCCGGCTGGGGTCGGCGTGGCGAGCCTCCCGCGTTTGTTTGCCCGTGTCTGCGCGCGTGCGTGCTGTGGCCGGACGGGCTGCTGTCCGATTCGTCTGCAGGCCGCAATCTGATGGGCGCGGTGCAGCTGTTGTTCGCGCTTCATTTCGCGGGGTGGAGGTGTCAGAGCGTAATCAGGCTGGATCATGGGAGGGGGATCGTCCCCTGGCGCCGGGGCTCGTATAAGTCCCCCCGGGCTGCATCTGTCTATATCACTTCCTTTCCGTCGCCCGGCGCTGCGTTTGCCTCGTCCCCGGCTCGAACCCGCCACATGGCGCTCACCGCCGCCTACGCTATGCTCCCCGACCGCCGTCTCAGCGCGCTCCTGCACCACCCGGCCCCGACCTACCTCGCCCACGCACACGCCCCGCTCGCCGCGAATGCCGCCACCAGCAGCACGAGCAAGGCGAGCTCGCCCGGCCACCCGCCGTCGCGTGGCTCGCCGATGGCCTTCCCCGCGTCGTCTTCGACGTCCTTTGCGTCCCAGTGGAACAGCAGCATCGGCCTCGAACGCGTCCCGGACACGTCCTACGGCCACTCTTCGATGGCCACCAACCCCACGCCCGCGTCGCTGTCCAGCTACCTGAACTCCAGCGCGTCGCTGAGCACCCATTCCTGGAGCAGCCACAGCAGCCAGGGCCCGTACTCGGAGCCGGGGCCCGGCGACGGCCCCAGCGCGTCGCTCCACGCAGTTACGCATGGCACGCTCTCGAATTCGCCCGGCGCAAACTCAAACAGCGCTGCGCCTTCATTCGCAGACGGCGGAGGTGCGTTGCGATTTCCATCATTCTGCGCTGTATACAGTCGCATCCGCATCAGCTGAGTCCCACCGCGGCAGGCAGCCCCAGCTTCGGTGATTACGCCCATGACCGATTTTCCCTGCCCGCCGCCACCAGCTCGACGCCCACCGCGAGCCCCCAGCCCCCCGCGCGCGCCGCTCATTATAGTCGCGTCCTGGGCCCCGGCGAGGCGCACTCGCCCCTGCATCTGCACTCCTCGTCCCAGCAGCACGCCTCTCTGGCGTCGATGGCCTTCGGCCTGCCCGAATCGTCCCAGCGCACTATTTTGGGCCACGGAGCCGCCGGTGGGGCCGGCGCCTCCTCCTTCTCCTCTGCCGCCTTCGCCCCCTCGCACTCGCCCTCGCCGCCCGCCGCGTCCGGCTCAAACTCGCCGTACGCGTTCCCGCCGCCGTCCCCGCCGTACCGCGCGCGCAGCTCGGGGCGCACGCACGCGCAAAATCATCATTACGCACAGGGGGCGGCGCTCTACGCGCTCCCGCCGTCCCCGCTGCCCGTCCTCCCCCCGCTGCCCCCCGCCCGCAGCCCGCCCCTGGTGAAGAAGGAGCCGCAGGACGGCTTCATCATCGAGGCGTTCTCGCACGCCGCGCCCGCGCAGCCCGCCGCGTCGTCGTCCTCGTCGTCGTCGGCGCAGCACGCCGAGCCCATGTTCCTCGACCCGCCCGTGAGCATCTACGCGCTCAACAACACCGCGAGCAGCGTCCCCCTCCGCGCGACGCAGGCGAGCAAGGAGATGCGCAGGATGATGGGCGTGTTTCGGTGCGTGCCGGGTTCCCTTCTTCCTGCTATCCGTTTCTCTCCTCGTGCACACTATACGGATGCGGACGCGGGCGCGGGCGCGTTACGATCTCGTCGGAGGTCGCGCCATACGAGCGAGGGTATTAATAGCGCCTTACTCGCCTCGTCGAGCCTTCTCTTCTGTCTGTTGGGCCCTGGGTCCTGCTATGATCCCCGATCATATCTGGACCCTTTGTGGCTATCACCCCCTTCCGCCCGCGGAAGCACAGATCGCCTCGCCCATTTCTGTGTTTATGAGGAAGACGCTGACTGTTTGGTTTCTCGCGGTGCAGGCTGGACCCGTTCGCGGTCACGTCTGGGGGCGTGCAGTTTGCGGGCGACGGGGGCGACCCCGAGGGCGGCGGGTGGCGCTACGAGGACGAGGCGGGCCCGCTGGCGGACGAGCCGGTGCTGTTGGAGTGGCAGGTGCGTTGAGCTCTCGCGTTTGCAGTGTATATGCGCGATTTGGTGACTGAGGAATGGATGGTACAGGTCGACGGGTGGGTGTGCGAGGTCGACCCGCAGGACGAGGAACAGGACCTCATTCCGTTCGAGGATATGGACGAGGACGTGGTCGAGGAGAGTTATCGGTCGACGCATAGCAGTCAGAATCACGGCCATAGCCAGCGGTGGAACGCGAGCTCGAGAGAGGAGCTCACGCTCGCGGACGACATCCTCTACCCCTCGGGAAAAGGTACGCCCCCTCTGCGCACATCCACATCCACATCCACATTCGCGTATTCACACCCCCTCCCCCCCTCCCCTCCCCCCAGGCCTACCGAATACGTACACGTACGCGACCACCTCCCCGCACACGCCCCTCGCCCTCCCCGCCGCGAGCCCCGTGACGATCCCGACGCCCGTCTCGCTCGCGCAGCTCTCCCACTCGCCGTCGATCGCGAACCTCGACCACCCGTCGCTCTCGTCGTACACGCCCGGGCCGTCGCTCTCGGGGTTCCTCAACCCCGCTCGGGGGCGGGGGTGGGAGGAGGGCGGCGGCGGCGGGGGGTATTATACGGGGAGCGGGGGTGGGGGAGGGAACGGCGGCGGGGGTGGGTATGAGGCGATGGGGCGGAGGGGGTGGTTGGGCGCGTGAGTTTGGTGGATGGTTGGAGTTTGCTATCAAGTTCATGGACGCCCGTGTATACGCCTGCGTCGCGATCGACCGGGCGCGCCGAGGGTAGGCGCGGGTGGATGCTTGGACGTGCAGTTTGGTTTTGGCGGGGCGCGGAGAGGCGGAGGGGTGGGTTTTGTGAGAGGATTGGGGGGGAGGGGGGGCGTATCTACGGAGAATATAGTTTCTTGGAACTCGTTGAATACAGGTGTCGTGTCGCTACATGCTTGGTAGGGCCTGGTAGTGCATGCAAGGAAGGAAGCCGCTGAAGAATTTCACTGTGGTATGGTGGCTTTGCTACGACTTCGACTCTCTGTGAATTTTCAAGTATCAAGTGTTTCTCGCATTTTAGGCAGAAGGCTTATATGTATGACGACTCCACGAAGAATAAGAATATAGATAACGAGGCTAGACAGTCGTGAACGTGCCACGGGCTGCAAAGCCGTACATGCGCTTTTCAACAATTAATGTCGGCAACCCACAGCTGGCCGCTGGGAACGAACATGACAACCTTCACATCTCTCCATCATGAAGTGAAATCAGAAACGTCTCCAAAAATTGCGCCCGTAGCCCTGGTGGCAGCGGTAATCGCCATGGGCGCTCGCTAAGGTGATCTGCGGTGTACTAAGATATCGGAGGCATCGCGCAGGTGTCTAGAGTCTAGACGTACGCTAACCATGCCAGTGACAGTCAAGCGCACCCTCTCATACGTCGCTTCGTTCATGCACCTCTATCCTTGAAAGCTTATATGGCAGGAACGGGCACGGTTGGAGAGAGAGAGGGGTACTTAGTTTGTTTGAAGATGGAACAGTCGTCGCACAAGGTTCGGCGGCTCTTCTTCCAGACATTCTCGAAATCATTGTTGGTCTGTCAACTGTTCCCACGCCACCGTGGCCTGTTGTGGCAACGGCGTAGGGTTAGGGTCAAAGACCGCTGGCGAAGCAGCTCAAAAGACGCAGCTGACTTGGAAGTGGAACTACACCAGCAGATGATCTAAAGAGAAATCTTGGTTTGTTCACGTCAGTTACCAGATACATGAAGCGGAGATTCCGACGCGTGTTGTGTCTGACCCGATATTAGGGTTAGTCAGGGGCATAGATTCGGAGTGACTGACTCACTTGAACAAGAAAGACGGATACAAAGCCTGCGATTACCCCGGAAGATGACGAGGCGATCACATCCGCATCTTCGCTGTCGGTGTGTACTCAGATGGCCGGAGCAAGACCAAGCTGCAGGGTGTTGATGATCCTCCGCGTTCTCGGGCTCGCACGCTACGAACAGCAAGAAAGAGGCGTGCGATGTAGACGGTCACGACAAACTTGAGTATATGAATTCATGACCCTGTCTTCCTGAATTCCCTACGAAGGAGCCTAACGACCGGGGACATGGCGACCTGCGTAGGTTACAGTCGCCCCGCTTGCCTGCCCGAGTTATTCCTGTCCTCTCTGAACCGAGCATCTCAGAAAGGGCTGGCTCGCACGTGAGCCGGACATACGGAGAAGAAAGGGAAAAAAGGCATGGCAGTGATTCGTGCGCCCAACAGGATCGGGCAACGCAACGCCTATTACTGGGCTTCCCTTCCGAAACGCGCTAGCTCGATGCTCCATGACACTTCCCGTCAAACAGCGACGTCCGTTCTGTGACCGTTGACAGTAGGCGTTACCTTTGGCTTTGGCGTTAGCGCATCCCGCACTTGGTGATGTGATGGCGCCGAGGAAAGTCCTGCGGCCGACGATCGCAGGAGAGGATTGCCATTGCCAGGCAAGTCGAAGTCGCTAGTCGCGAGGAATGTCGATCCTTGTCCAGATAAGATACCGATAGGAGCGTTAGATGGCGCGGACAGGAGTGGCGAATACAATAAAGTGGCCAAGCGCGATCTAGTACCGCGGGGGTCAAAGTTGTTCCTGATTGAGATGAACAATAAGAACCCGTCGAAGTCGATGGAGATAAGAGGCGATTTCTGGCCTCTCTTGCTCTGGATCGCGCTGCTAGTGGGAGTGTCCGCACATCATTCGGACCAGAGTTCTGCGTGATGCGTGCAGCAGGGTCTCGTACGCATGGCTTATCCGCCAAGGACTAACCGAAGGTAGCAAGATCGCCATGAACGAAACTCCGCGGATATACATAGCATCTACCAGCACCGCTGGAACGACTGCACAACCGCCGGAGTGTGGCCTGATAAGTGGTACAGGAACGGTCAACGGCGGGCGACTATCGCAAGAACGGAGCTTTAGCCTTTTTCCGCGATGACCTCGGTGAAACTGGAGAACGCACCAGTGAAGAGTGCTACACGAGGCTACTGAACGGCGAGGAACATGGAACAGCCGGGATCTTAACCAACACAACAGCGGTGCGTAAACGCAGCGTTCCCAACACCGGATCCAAGCGAGGCGGCGAGACCTGCTGACGCTACGCACCATCTAACGCTCAGTCACGGTAACAGAGCAAGGGGAGGCGGCGGCGGCGTAAAGAGACACAGTAGAGGCGTCCGTGACACAGGTTACAGTGGGAAGAAGAAAAGGCACAGTGTCTCTCAAGCATAAGTATTGTTTGACTGAGGGAGTTAGAACGCGTGAAGCTAAGATATTCCGCTCTATCCAATGGACCGCGGATAGAGCGAGCAAGGAGAGTAGATACAAGGCCAAGGGTCCAGGGAAACACCCGCTGCAGCGGGCAACCATGAGATGTTCGGGTGCAGACGCAGTGTGTGGTCGGGACAGACGTTTCCCCGGCGCACAGCGGAAAACCACATGTTATGCCGGCGCTTTACAGAACCGCGCTCCGGTGGAAACCCACTTCTGCAAGTGCCGATGCCGAGAAGATCATGAGTTCAACGCGCCTGCTGTTAATAGCCTCCAGCACCCGGCCGCCTCGGAACGTGGGGTAGTGGGGGATAGAGTTGGGCTAAGGTTGACTTTGAGCAGTCAGCACAACGTAAGGAACCGTATGCGAGAAGACGTCCGAGGTGATTGAGTGCGCGAGCTGTTCGAGGCCCTCTCCCTAGGTACGTGATGTTTGTATGAAAGATACCGCCACTGGGTGCAGTTCCTCGGGTCCGGTCGATAGCGTGGTGGCAGCGCCTTTGTGCTGTGGTGGTAACTTTGCAGGGAGAATCGGAGGCTGGAGTGTTAAATGAAATATTACGGCTTATGGGAGAGTGTCGCGGAGTTGGGGTGCAGATCTCCTAGATGCATGCCACGCGTTCGTCACTGGAGGTCTTCCTGTGAAGCAGCTATGGCTTTGTACGTGAAGTTTGAGTCAGATATTACAGAGAACGGTACATTTATCAGTGCAGGCTCCAGGATGACGCCAATCGATAAACTCGATACAATACAATGCTGCACTTACGGACCTCAAGTAGTACGGCTATTCTTGTGCGCTTCGGTCGCATGCTTGCACCTCAGGCACATGCCGCAGATGAATCATCTCTACTGCGTTGAAGAATGCTGCCGAGGCTGGTTACATCAGGGACATTCATCGTTATGTGAGCGAGCCTAAGCGTGGACGCGGTCAGTCACTCAGCGGCCTGGGGCCCTAGGCAAGGAAGGCACCCCTCCGGCGTACCGATAGAGATCCCAGCCGATCGTCCTTCCGTCTTGTGATGCCGATTATCATGCAGGGAGAAGTGAACTTTGTCATCCTTGCAAAGTCAATTGCTTGTTCCGCAAAAGGAACTAGAATGCAGAGCGCATCTTTGTCGACAATTCGGGACTGCCGTCACGGATGTTCCGGTGAGAGACGCAAGATAAAACATACCGCTGCGCGCCGACGTAGTGTTTTCCCCCCTTTCCCTTGCATCGCTCTCTGGTCACCGCCCGCTGCGATCCCAAGCAAGGCCCGGACGGCATCCCGCTGACAGTTTCAGGCAAGTTGTTTCCACGCGGTCTTTGCGTGGCTGTCCGATCGCCCAGTAGCCACGAGAATACATCTCGGCAACTCGCGACCCGTCAACGCTTCGAAATACAACACCGTCCAACAGGCACCTACAGCCTCCTCCTCCTCTGCTAACTACCTCTACTCTGCTTTCACTTTTATATACGCGCGGGCAATACTTCTAAATTGAAGACACGAAAATTACACTGTATCTCGTGAGGAGAGATGTGCAAGGTGCACGGAAACCTAGGAATCCGCGACAGTAGACGGCGCAGCGTCGACGTTGGCGGTCTTGCGCTCGCTCTGGCCCAGGAGGGCTTGGGTCATGGCTGGGGAGGCTGGGAGGACGAGGAGATAGGCGAAGCTCGGTTCGTCTTGTACGCACGGTCCCCCCGATCGACGTCTGACGCCCACTAATTGCTTCAGATACGCTGAGCTACTCAGCGACATGTATACGCACACGCAGTCACATACGTCTGCCGACTCTGCGCACGGGGTAATGTCAGTAGCTGTCCGTGCTAATGTCTGTCGGTCTCTATCCTTACGTGCTGTTCCTTAGATCCGAGATGCCCCTCACAGCAGAAGCGCGTAGACGTTTGATACGGTCTCTTGACAGCTGGAATTTTGAACCGCACAAGCTACCAGACGAGGAGATTATCGCTTGCACATTAATTCTATTTGAGTCTCTGTATCGCATGGAGGGGATGCAGGAAGACCTTAGCGTTCCCTTGCGTAAGTTGCATTGCTGCTATCGCTTACCCACCTTAATCGCTACTAGAACGACTCTCCGATTTCTTACACCATCTAAGACACGTATACCGCCAGCAAAACTCTTATCACAACTTCCACCATGCTCTCGACGTTCTCCAAGCTACTCACATTTTCCTACACTCGTCGAACATCGTCCCACCTGTATCCATACTATTAAATCCAGATGACGGACCCTGGCGGCCAAATCAGGATGTACCTCGAGATCCCCTCCTGGCCTGCCTTACCAACGAAGATCTATTCGCCCTATACGTTGCCGCTATTGGCCACGATGCCGGTCATCCCGGATTTACCAACAATTTCATGGTATGTTGTTGTCTTAACTGTACTGCTGCCTTTGATTCATCTTGTCGTTAGAAAAATGCCAAGACCCCTCTATCCATGGTATATGACGACCGTTCCGCTCTGGAGCAAATGCACTGCGCGCTCTTGCTCAAGCTGATGCGTAATGATGGTCTCGGCCACCTCCTAGACCGTCCGGTTCGGGGACCCCAGTTTCGCCGACTATTACTTCAGACAGTGCTTGCGACAGATATGAGCGTCCACCCCGAGTTCATGGATCTCTTCAAGAACCTACTGGCCGGTAAAGAGACCGACGTCCGAAGACAGAAGGTTCTGATCTGCCAAGCGCTCATCAAATGTGCAGATATAAGCAACCCTGTGAGTGTCGCCTCGGGGGGTTATCAACGGATGTATTCATCGCTGTCTTCAGTGTCGACCGATGAGCGTGTCGCGTCATTGGGCTGCTGCTCTAGCGCAAGAATGGCAGAATCAAGCGCTTTTGGAACGACACCTAGACTTGCCGCTTTCGGTACAGCCCTCCGTCGACCCCCTGAGCGAAGCACGCTCGCAAGTATGGTTCATCAACACGTTTGCGAAGCCTCTCTTCGATATGACGGCGTCTGGCGTACCAGGTACGTGGGCCCGGGTCGGAGCCCTTAAGTATATCCACTCAAGCTCATCTACGTCTATAATTAGAGATGGCCAAGTTTGCGCTGCAGTGCTCAAGCAATCTGCAGACGTGGGAAGCCCGCTGCGCGGAACTCAATGTGCATGAAGACGCCGCGCTGGAGGACCCAGAGCGGTCAGCGACCCCCGCGCGGATGCCCGAGGACTTCCTCACCGTCTTCCCCCTGACGCTGCCCTCGGATTTCCTGCTGCCGCAGATGGTGCGGCCGTGCGATGCATGGAGGGCGGTAGGGAAGACGTTCCAGGACGCGTCGACGTCGGACGTCTCGTCGGAGTCGCGCTCGTCGGATTCGCGATCGTCGTCGCCGACGCGGTACAGTGTCCAGCTGACGACCGTTGGCGCGGTCGCTCCCTCGTCGCCGCCTGCTACTCCGTCAGAATACTCGGCGTCGTCCATCGTCTCGCCCCAGTCTGAGGTGTTTGATTTGTTGCATCCACAGAATTCCACGTATGTTGGAGGGAACTCAGCGGGCAGCGACGCGAACGCTGCTATACGCGCCGCCTACAAGGCGAGTGTGCGCAAGAAGAAGAGTTTCCACAGGAACTCGTGGAATCCCTCGGGGGCCTTCTCGGCACCCCATCCTGCAGTTGACGGAGCCCTGCCCATGTCACCTAGGCTCCCGTGCTCAGGCCCTCCCTATTCTTCCAGTCACGCGGCCCCGCCCCTGCTTGTTGCGAGATATAAATCTGCGTCATAGCATTGTGGGTGTCCTTGACTGATTATTCTGGCTTGTGTTTCCCTCCGGACTTCTTGCCGTGTATTATTGCCTGCTATCTGCGACTGTGGTCCCTTCGATTTGTTTCTATCCATTTCGTTCGGTTTTTGCTCTTGTATATATCAGTAGGATGTAAGGATACTCGGGTCTCAATAGTATATCCTACCGGCTGTAGAGCATTGTTATAGCACTAGCATGTAAAGTCAATGGCTGTTGCACAATATATGTATTTCGATCATCGTCGGACCGCGCCCGGAGAGTGCCTGGTGCTAAGCTACTGATCCTCCCTGAGATATGTGAATTGAACCTCGAAGTGTGTGGAGTCACCCGTAGAAACTCCGGGGTTCAGAGGGCGCTCTTTCTAGATTTGTGTCCTTCGGGAAGCACCGTTGCAAGAGTGTACCGATTATCCCAGGATGCGGCGACTTGAAGGGTGATTCACCGTAGTGCGTCCTCGGACCACTTGCCAATCCACCATCTGCACATCGTCTTCCTGACACCAAGGTTCTCCTTATCTAACCCGCGGCCGCGGACGGGGAGGGTTCCCAGCCACTTGCTCTCTTCGTCGCCTTCCTCCCACAGAAGACCCTCGCGCTCGGCTGCGCGCAAGAAATTGTCACAGACCTTGGGCGGGGTGTATTTACCAGCCGCGACGTACGTACGCGCAGTCGGTGACCTGAGAAGAAGGGAGATGAGCGACGCGAGAAGTTCGGAGTGGGAGGCGTCGAAATGGAGAAGGTCCGAGAGTATCACGATGTCGTAGCCCTGCCTCGCGGGAGAGAGGTCCCTGGAGGATAAGCGGTAAGAAGCACGCGAGGGAAGAGCACGGCGAACTAACAGAAGGGGGGAGACGTCTTTTCCCCAGTCGTGTCCCAGGCAGTGGACGGCGCATCCATTGGTGACGTGTGCGCGGTTGCGTTCGAGACTTTGCGATAGGTTACGTAGAATTGCGTCGTCGGGGTAATCTGTGATTACCACCAGAACGGGCGGCTCCGCGAGCGTGGATGCGAGTAAGGATGGAACAGCACACCCTGCTCCCAGCTCAACCACTTGGGAGTTATTCATTAACGGGGTGTGAAATACGGCAAAGCCACAACGGAGAGTCACACGTACTAGATCGGCGTTCAACTGGGATGATACCTCGCTCTATGTGTTCGGCAAGTAAGAGTCCTGGGGAGAAGAATTGGTCCGCCATGAGAGTATTCGCCTTAGCCATGTGCATATCCAGATTGAGTACCTAGGGTCTGCAGTATGCGGGAAACCATTTTGTACCTTCCCTTCCTGTCTTGCATTCTCAGATTTTTACTACAGTCGAGTATGGCCAGATGCTAACCCTTGGAGCGACAGATAGAGTCAGGGGACCATATTGGATTACGTCTTCGTCGTCCCCGTTCGTATCTCCCGAACATCTGTCGAGATATTTGAACGAATCAAGGTAAGTGTCTTCGTCCATTCCTGCGCCACCGGAGGCGATGTTGAAGAAAGATAGAATAGTGTGGGAAAGTCATGGAGAACGTTCAACGCATGGAATTGCAGACATCCTCTCTGATCGCAAGTTTCCAGTAGAACCCGCAGCCAACTTGGTATCATTCTGCGATACCTACATCGTGATATCGGGCTTAAGTATACGGTACGTCTGCATACCAGGGCGCAATATTTGTCTACCGGGACTCGGCCGGTGATCGTGTGGCCGGGAAAGCAGGACATCGTGTGGGACGGAGCAAGGTAGGCTGTATATTTATTGCTGCAGCATCTTTCAGAGATGAGATATACAGCTTCACTGATGCTGTCGACACTGAACTTGCAGCACCAATCATTCTTCCCGTGACTCCGTCGATATAATCGGTCTCATTGCTGGGAGCCTAAACACACTTCAAGTCATGAATTGCTCCAACGTAAAGTCACGAGCCCCTGTAGAAGATTTGCCTTTTGAAATTCTTGGGAAGATCTTTACCCTCTGCCTTCCAGATGACCTCTATATCGAGCTCAATCCTCGCAATGCTCCCCTGCTCCTCCTGCAAATCTGCCGTTTCTGGAGGGACACTGCAATATCTACCGAGCAACTGTGGAGGTCCCTTACTTTCCACGTTGCTGAAGGAGGGCATGTCAGCTCCTCTTACCATAAGCTCGCGCAGGGCTGCCTTGCGCGCTCTGGGGCTGGACCGCTCCGTCTGCAATTTAGGACTACGGGAACCTCCAGGAAGCCAAGTGTCCAGTACACGCCGCTTTACCGTATTCTCCCATGTTCGCAGGAGGTGCACAGATGCGTGTCACTTTGCCTAGTCCTTCCATTTGAAGAGCTTGAGGAGTTGGAAGGTATGGCCGCACCGTCCCTCCCGCTTTCTCTACGTGCCCCTTCAGGCTTCGACCCCGCCAACCCTCAAGAGCTCCTTCAGCGTCCGATGTATAGGCTATATCAAAAACTTACGGAGCTCGTGCTTGACGATATCGATCTTGCAGACCGCTGTCTAGACGTTCTCACGTGGTGCCCCAATCTACTTTCTTGTACCTTGCGCTTCTCTGAATCCTCCGACTACGAGGCCATTGAGAGTGCAGCGCATAAGATCAATCTGCATGCTCTCCACCACCTCGAAATCGACATCAGCTTGGGCTGTGTGGACGACGTCCTCCTGACGCTCACACTTCCTTGCCTGCGCAGCTTAACCCTCACAGTCAACGGCATGATCTCGCCCTGGGGGTTGTTGTCCCTGCTGAAACAGTCACAGTGTTCTCTGCGAGAGTTGTCCATCAAAGGCATGCGGGCCTTCTTTGACAGCCGGGATGACCTCAACGAGCTGCTTACGCTCATGCCCGACCTCACGTATTTGGAGTTGGAAGGTGAAGCCGATGAGGATTGGATTGGCCTCGAAGCATTTGATATCTTGGAAGGCACAAACATCGATGTGCTTGCTTTTGACCCCCCTAATAATCGCCGGCCGCTTCCGCTACTAGAGAGCCTTCGGTTCGCAAGTCCCTCACACGACTTACCGGAAGCAGGCGCCATTCAGGAGATGCTGCTCTCTCGAGTGCTGCGTTCACCCAATGAACCGGACCCGGCGTTGCGCTCTGCTCGTATTGTCGTGCTGATGGAAGATACTGTTCACGTGTGGTCGTATGAGCAGGAGCACGGACATGTTATGGAGAGCGAATACGAGAGGATGGAGTACCCTGGTTAGATTGCTCCGAGGACCGAGACAATGCACCGGAGATCCTTCTGATCAAGATGACTCTGGATTTGCGGGTGCGATGATAGTGGGTGAGTATGAACGATCCAGACAGTTCCATGATACACTTGACCCCAAATTATTATTGCGACTGGCGCCTTCCCCGCCCATCACGCATGTTTGCCAGCGCAGCTTGTAGAGTAATTTTGTACTCACGCCAGTACCTTCCGGCTTCCGTTGTACACACTCACTCATGATCCGCTAGCAGCATTATTAAAATTGTATTGATAACCCTAGAGAGCATAGGGATGATTCCTCGGCAGTAAAACCCTTACAATTCAGTACGGTACAATTGGGTACAATTTACTAGTGATGCGCGCTCGCGCTGAGTTGCTCGCGAAGCGTAACGTGGTGTGGCACGACACGTCATGTGGCACAGCTGGTGCACCATGCACACCAACCTTGCATTCATACAGCTTAACTTACTGTATTTCGTGGCATGTTTTGTGATAGGTAGGGCAATTAAATAGGTATCATTGATTCTGGAACCTTTTCAGACTCAATTCGAAGATATTTAAAGCTCTGTAGCAACTTATAGCTGGCCCTTGGTCTTTGTGGGTCCCTCAGCCACCGGGAGTAGAATTTGTACATGTTTGCCGCGGACTTCTGCCCTAGTGAAGAATGGCTCGCTTCGCTCGCAATAAGACGTAGAAAACCATGAAGAGAACTGTGTAACCTAAGTTAAGTATCAGCTTGACGACTCGGAGAGCTGGCAGAGGCTGGCGCGTGACGGGGACGCGACACCGTCGACTGACTCGACTGGACAATGAAGGCAATTGTGCCGTCGAAAGGGCGAGGTATTATAGGACAGGTCAAGGCGTGCTACACGCTGTCTCTAAGATCTATGATTAATCACGTCTGATACTACTTCATCCAGCTTCCGGTTGTTACTGTAGACATTGTTTATGATCTAGCCTAGCCTGAGTGAAGCGTAAGCATGGCTCAGGCCATACATCGCTCGCCCGCTCCCGTAGAGGAGCTGCCTTTCGAGACACTCGCCAAGATATTTACGATCTGCCTCCCTGATGACCTATATATCGTCCCAAACCCTCGCAACGCGCCGCTGCTCCTCCTACAAGTCTGTCGTCTTGTAACGGGCACGGCGGTTGCGAAGACAGCGCCCGAACACCTAGGACCAGAATGCGCGGCGAACGAGGCGCAGACAGACGAGAATGAAATATTCAGGTGGAACGACTGGTATGGGCGCTGGCCCTGGGGTAGGTGGTCGGCGTCACCGTATGGGGGGCACCGGGGAGGCGTCGGTGGTATGGGAGCGAATCGTGGATATTGAGATGCGGTCGCGGATTTGCCAAACGATGCGCAGCATAGCACATTACCTCTGTAATGTAGCGGAGCCTTAGGCGGCGTGTATAACCATGTATCCTTATACTGTTACCCAAGACAAGTCGGTGAGTTACCTTTGCGCTAGGTCTGGGCAAATGATCCCATCTGAATTCACCAGTGCGATCGGGAACCGTAGTAAGCGCCGGTCATCTTATATATGATGTGCTTACAGTAGTAAAATACAGTACAACATTTAAAAGGCCACGTTCACACATCACAAGGACAGATACAACCGTTTCGCAGACAGGGTCTACTGTTCGGCGCTTGGTATATCACATAGATAGCGTAGACGGTCGTCGTGATACACTGGACCCACTCGCCCTTCGTATGGTAACTCGCGAGCATCTCGCAAAGGCCGAGCCCAGAGAGTGCCGGGATCCGCTCGCACTTCATCCGCCCAGACTTCCATCTGACGTTGGGAGGTAACAATTGACAAAACCCCATACAGCCCTTTGCCGTCCTTTAACAACGGCTCAATCCAATCTTCGGGGGATTCCACCTCCGAGCTTAAGCTCATGGCGCGCCCGAAATCAAACATGACGGCGCTACCTAGATGTATCTTGGGCACGAGGACATTCCTCCATGAGATGTCGTAGTGGGCCACGCCTAGGCAGTGCAAAGCGTAGACGGACTTAGTCAACGTCGTCATCTTCGGGGTCATGATATGTGGTCAGACTCATATTTTTGCTGTCCATAGTACGAATCTGACTCACGAATTTATGGGTCTGTTCCTGGTTGGCCTGGCCTCCGTACATCTTACAGTAGGTACCGGGAGTGACTCCGTCAATATATTCGATGATATGAGTACACGCCACACTCCCGCATGGCAACTGAACCTGGAGTCAACACCAGCCTTAGCAAAACATATTGTACGCAACATCCAGACTTACGTCGTAGAATCCGTAGGAGTATGGAATGATCGTTCCTCGAGCAGACCGGAGGCGCTCATACGCCCAGGCTTCTCTGTGGGATACTTCCTCCTGCAGCGGATAGTCTTCATCCAGCACGTTGTCATACTCCAGCCATTGTGGCTCGGGAAACAGAGATCCTTGGAATAGTTTCGCAACGACCGGAAAAACCGTCCCATCTCGACAGATTGCATCGGCTTTCCAGACTTGAGCGAATTTCTCCAGTCCGGTTGACAATGGTTGGCGAAGGATAACTTCAAATTCAGGTAAGGATCTTCCGTCCAGGCGCAGCTCGATAACATAGCGCCTCCGATGATGAGGTGCATATGCGTCTCTCGCCGTCTCATTCAGTGGAGCAAGGACTTGTCCGAGGTAGGATGTTTGGTTCACTTGATATGCAGGGTGCGGTAGAAAGTCGAAGTTGGGACTGCCGACAAAGTGCAGATTGTGGTCTTGCTTTAGAGGCGACTCAAGACTGGCTGTCTGTCGTCTCCGAAATTCGTCGAGCAGACCAATGTATTCAGAGTGGCTTCGAGGATACTGGACGTTCCAGATTAGACGAGCCATGGTCATTGCATCCTTTCCTCAGCTGGAGAGTGAGCTTATAGCTTGACGCCGGGTTATAGTCTTGTTGTAGACAGTCTGAGCCGTACCGGTGATGTTGCATGCCAGATCCCCTCGCCGACACCTTGTCTTTGTATGAAACTGTAACAATTACAAGCTTGGAAATGCCGCCGCCACTGCAGCTTTATAAGTCACGGGTAAATCGGCCAATTCTTGCGCGTACGAGATCCGTCATACTGCACCATGGCCATTAATTAGGCCACTTGCCTCTACCGTGACTAGTATGGATTAGTTTGGTGTCTCATTACTATTAGCACCGGCACCGTTCCAATTCACTGGCAACCCTCAGTAGGATTCGCTCGGATAGGCACTGACATCGATCGACTCGGAGAGGTCGGCTTGCTTGTATAACTGATATCAAGCCGACCTCCCCGAGTCCTTCACTGGCCTGCAGTTGTAACTCGTGGCAGGCAGTAGGACACCGGCGACTCGTCTCCTGGAAGCTGTATAGTGATCGTTCATGTTGCGATCTCGGGTTGGATCTTCGATGACCCTACTAAACAATAGTCTTGCCCAACTGGCCTTGTCCTGGCACTTCGGACACCAAGTACTGGCGCAAGGTACGTTGTTCTCCCCTTGGGTGCGTAGACTCTGGAAGGCTGCGAGGATCGGAGCTCCAACTTAGTGAGAGAGACATACACACGTCATTCGTATGCACACATTATTGACTGACCCTGTGTTTCATCTCCTACATAGAAATGCGGAAGGTTGGGTGTCCTTGTTTCCGACAAGGTTAGGCCCTATCATGGTATGTCTTGATTCTGTGCATCAACACACAGTGTTTTGTTTCATGACTGAGGATGTAGATACGTGCTTGATGTCGAGGACAATCCTTGATGTGTGAGCTCCATACTAGTAAGTAATCATATTAGGGCAAAAAAGCACAAGGTTTCTTGTACTCCCTGACATTCCTTGCTTCAAATAAGAACATTCTATAGCATAAAAGGATGCATCCGGGGGGAAGGGCAGCAGATCCAGTAAAGTCACCCCCATCCTTACTTGTGTCCCTCCTTCAAGAATTGTGGTTTACAATGCCTGTCACACCAGTATTGTGTACCTCAGCCAATGAATTCGCTCATGCGCAACTTGCATATTGCAAGGAGACCCTGAGCCCGGTGATAAGCCTCAGGATCATCTGACCCCCGAAAACGCGGATTCAGCACATCATACAAGCGCCCCGGAGCTTATTCGACACAGCGCTCGCACGCCTCTAGACTTCTATGGGCTCTAAAAGACTTTTTCTATTTAGCTCCGGACTTCCCAACATCCTCGAGGCGTACTCGGACCCATTCCGCGATTTATCTCCGCGCACCGAAGCTCCGGAGTGACTTAACCAATGCGACTTCTAGCTGCATTAGCTCCGGGACCCGCGGACACTTCTATCGAGGGGCATCTTCCTCATGCCCACCCTCCAGCACTCACTCCCCCTCGTTTCCGTCAAGATACCGAAGGTGCGGACGCATAAGAGTCACCATAAGGTCAGCATCAGTCAGCAAACGGCCGGAGGTAATTAACACGTGACCGGCGTGTCGCACGGAGTGATGGGACCGCTTGGGTCAGGTGGCGAAGCGTCGAGGCGACCTATAGGGGCTGGAAAGAGCAAGTGGGAGCGCAAGAGAGTCGTATGGTATATGGTATAGCGGAGGAAAGTGCTGAGCAATCCTGTGGGTAGCGGCGTTTATTTGTTATTTATCTCCGAACGGTCGCAAAGCCATTCCTGTAGTATAAATTGTACAAAGTAGCATACAGAAAAATAAGTTTCGACTTCACCATCTCAGAGAATTAGTGTTACGATCTCAGCGACTCGAGAAGTTCGAAAGCGTCGAACCTAGCGAATTATAACCGATCCTAGCTTTGCCAATAGGCCTGACTCGTTGAGTGAATTATCTCCGCCATCGATTCAATTAGCTCCGGTGAGTCTCACATAGCGAAATAAAATTAACCAAGTTTCTCTAGCAATTTCTACTCCCGTGGGCCCGAACCTACACTCGGTTTCGTGGTTTGCGACTTTGTCTGCGATTTTCCGGAGATAAATACTCCGGAGCGTCCCTTAGTGTTTGTTTCAGGCGTCAAGGTTTTGTTTATTTTTCTAGGTCTTCCTACGG